TATCGGAGGCCGATACCGGATCGGCCCCATCCCTAATTAGAAAGAAGTTAGAAGAAGCACAAAAATATTGTAGTTAGCAGAAAGAATCTGAAAGGAGCACAAAACAGCTGAAAACAGCTGAAAAGTTTAAATTTGCAGCAGGAAGCAGAAAGAAGCTGAAGCAGAACAAAAAGTGAAAGGAGCAGTAAAAGGTTGTGAACAGATCTAAAGATGTGAAGGATGGAAAATGAGCTCAATTCATTTTCTGAGAACAAAATGTCAGAAAAGGCTAAAATATTTCAAACAGCTAAAGCTGCACCAACACCAAAAGTCAGAGCAGGATTGTCCTGAAAGAGCCGAACATTTTGATTTGTGATTTGTTGAAATAGCTGAAAACTGGGGGACGAGAAAGATGCTGAAAACTGGACCACAGATTGAAGACCTGGATAAAGTCCAGGTCGCACCACGAGTGAGGACAACGAAGGTCTTTGCAGATTCTTAGGAGGGTCCTGGTGGGTTCCTGAAGAATGCTGTGCTCCTGTCTTTATCTGTGGTGAAACGTGTGCGGTGGTTTTAACGTGCACTAACCCTCTGAGCTGAGGTTCTGTTGGTTCCTTCACTGGAGCAGCTTTATCTCCACAGAACGGAGAATGAAGGTTCTGGAAAACAACAGCAGGTACTCTGGTCGGGTCAGAAAGCTTCATGCTGTCCTGGACCGTGCGTGCAGTCGCTGCAGACAAACTCCAGCTACACTCCTGCAAACATTCTGGACCTGTCCCAAACTGCACACGTTGTGATCAGTCTTCTCTGGGTGGTCCCTGTGGACACGTCCTTCAGCAGGTGTGAGGGATGGGATTGCCTTCGGCTCACTTCTGGCCAAAAGGCTGATTTTTTGAAAAGGAAGGCCCCCCCCCCCCCCCCCCCAGTATATATTGGATAAGAGAGGTGATGTATCATGTCCATTTGGACACTGTAAGACCTACCCTGAAGAGCTCTGTAAAAGGATTCTGGGACATGTGGCGGGTCCTTGTGTTGTGTGTGGAGAACCTGTCAGTGCCTGTTTATTTATTTTATGCATGAGTGGCTGATCCGTGGGGGAGGGGTGGGTGGGCGGGGCTTCTGTCGATTTGTTCTGTTTTATTAAAAAGCAAAAATCAATAAAAAGACCTTGTTTTAAAGGAAACCTTCATCCTGCTCTGGTGTAATGAGAGGACCTAATGAAGAAGGGACCTTCTGAACCCACGGGCCCGGTTCTTCTGCTGCTGCAGACAAACTTCTAGCCTTCAGAGATCAAGCAGGTTGGGGTAAAGGAAGTGGACTTGTTGGAGTTCTGAAGATGTTTTCTTGATCAAATTAAAGTTTTTCAACTCATAGAACACAGAAGAGCCAGGTTTGAACACGGTTCTGCTGACTGACCCGTTGGGCCTGATTCAGAGGCTTTTCCTCTGACTGGTCATCTTCTTACCTCCATCCTTATCTTCTCTGTGACCAAACCATCTGACCATTGTTTCCTCCACACCTACAGCTCATGAACTGTCTCTGCTGAGAGGAGCTGGGAGGATCTGGAATTAGAGGAAAGTTCCAGAAGTGAGCAGATTTTCCAGGACATCCTTGTAAAAGAGATTGATGATCTCAATGGAATTCTTCCTGGTAAAATAAAGTAATTAAAAAAACCACCAACGTTTAAAGGTCCACCAGAGAGCAGAGATGAGCTCAGTCTCAGGGTCTTAGCTCAGAGAGGCTTGGAGAACCTGACTCACGTCTTGTTCTACAGGAGGACTCATGTTTTTGATCTGCATGGTAACAGCACCTGAATTGGATCTGAACCTCTGAGGTGTCAGAGTCTGGAACAAGTTTGGACTCTTTGAAAAACAAACAAAGACCAGGATGTCTTCTTCAGAGGACCAAGACATGATCTGAACCTAGTTCAGAGGACCAGATTATGATCTAGACCTTCAGAGGACCAGATTATGATCTGGACCTTCAGAGGACCAGACTATGATCTGGACCTTCAGAGGACCAGACTATGATCTGGACCTTCAGACGACCAGACTATGATCTGGACCTTCAGAGGACCAGACAGATGGGTACCTCTGGGGTGAAATAAAAGGTAGATTCAGGTCCAAGCAGAACGTCAAACAGCTGCTGGTGTAG